CCACACCATCTGTAACAAGAAAGAGAAATCAAGAAAGACTTTATAGAAAAGGTTTTCCTAAGCCTGCACCTTGAAGGTTAAGAAGAATTTGCCCTGTGCATGGGAAGGCAGTCCCAAGTGGAAAGAGCATATACAAAGTCACAGGCACATGAAACCATGTGGCGCTTAAAGCAGTGTGGTTTTGTGAGATGAAACTGAGAGGTGAACAGGTAGCAGGCCTTGTAAATCATGAATTGGGAATTGGATTTTATCTTGAAAATGGATGAGAGACATTGCAAAGGCAGGGGGTTTGCACTAAAGGTAATTCTCATGGCAGTGGAGGTGGCATGAGTTTTGAGGACAAGATAACCAATAAAAAAATTGGAATAAATCTGGTGAGAAACTATGCCAGAACTAAGGCAGTAGAAATAGGGAAGAAAATAAATACTGAAATATGTATGTTTGGTGAGAGGAAGATGCTGATGATGGTCCCAGGTTTTTAATTTTTTTTATTTTTTATTTTAGTTGGGTGATAGTATTTCCAAGTGAGGCAGGAGGAGGACCCAGTTAGGGGGAGGATTATTTTAGTTTTAGTTATGTTGTGTTTTAGGGACCTGTGGAACATAAAGTGGAGAAGTCCATTGACAGGTAGTTGTATAGATGGCTTTGAAGATTGTAAGGAAAGGTCAACGTTGGGGAGAGATTTGTGAGTCATCAAGATACAGGTAGTAGTTAAATCTATGGAAGAGGATGGGACATGTATGTAACAAAACGAGAGTGGGAAGAATGAACTCTTGAGGAAAATACCGGTAATGAAAGGATAAGCCGAGAAAGACTATCCAGCAAAAGAGACTGGTAAGACATAATCTAAGAGGTAGACATGATTTTTAAATGTCAAAGTTAAAAAAAAACAATTGAATTAATAACCATTGTATTTGGCAACTGGGACTGATAGGGAACGAAATCAGATTGCAATGATTAATAAGTGAATGAGAGATAAGGACATTGAAACTACAAATGAAAACTTTTTAAAGAAGCTTGACTAGGAGAGGAAAGAGGGAAGGGAGGACACAAAAGCTCGAGGAGATTACAGGATTTCAAGGGGCTGTTTTTAGGAATGGACAGACTTGAACTTTTTTACAGAATTTCCAAAGTGTCAAACTGAAGTAGAAGTGACCTGAAACTGCAAAGATCTTGGAACAATAGTGACTTGTGTATTGGTGGCTGAATAAACTTATTTGCCTGTAACAGTGCTCCTTAGGTATTTGCTGTTATTATTTGTGTTACTTAATTAAATAGGCTCCTTCTTGCCCACTTGGGCTGGGTGTGCTGCTTATAGAACTGGACTTGTGGTATCCTCTTGGTCCATGCTCGCCTCCTGGGGAGACCATCCCAGCCTCTTTGCCAGTGTTTCCCTCCTCCCTCACATCTGCTACTTCACTTGAGACATCTTTTCCTGACATTGTGCTTGATGTTAGGCCAGTTGCTAATGACATAGGCAGTCAGGGTTTTCAGTGTTATTAGTGACTCAGTTAAAAGTTTATAGTATATTCTTAATAGTATGCACCTGAAGAATTATGCTGGATAGCAAACAGGTAAACAGTGGTGAATCTTGGGGAAGACGCGTAGAGGGAGAGAAGACAGCCTTATGCATATTGCTTAAATTTTTGGAAATGAGAATTAAAATTAAATTTAAAAGAATTATGCTAAATAATCAGGTTTGAAAATTAAACTCTATCATATCAGAGGTGTTATTAGTAAATATAGTTTATTGAATATGTATTTTTTTAACTTGCCATATTCCCTAGGAAAGATTCCATTTTAATTACATCTGTGAGTTTAGTTAGATCCTTGGCTGTGAAGAAACTCTTGAAATCTGCTTGCAGTTTAGCAGGTCCCAGGGGTTGATTTAGTCTAAGATCCACTGAATCTTCCCAACCCCTGTGAGAATTTCAAGGCCATCCTAGTTCTTCTGCAAGAGAAGAAAGAAAATTGGAGAGGCTCATAGAGTTGGCTGCTGTGGCTGCACATGATCGGATAGTAGGGTTACAGTATATAGTTCTGAACATTTCTAAATGATGTTCTGAAGGAATTTGCCATTACTCATACCGTAGAAGGAAAGTAGTGCTGTAGATAACTACAACTAGATCATTTCAAATGTTGATTTAAAATTAAATTTTATGTTTATCTTGAGTATGAGTATATCTGATACAGAGGTTCACAGCCCTGCAGAGAGAGTAATGAAGCTGGTTTCCAGAGTACTTGGAACACTGCCCAGTTTCCCTTGCCTTCCTCTCCTCTGCTTTAACTCCTTTTCTCTCACTGAATGTCAGCGTCTGGGACCAGCTGCCAAGCAGGCAAAAGACTGAGCTGACCACTGTGTCCTAAAGCTTGTCACTTTATGAAGTTGGTAGAGAGTTTAGACTACTGGTAAGTCTAGAGAAGCAGTCCTGTTTAGCCTGGGCAGAAACTAATCAGAATAGAGAACTGAAAATTACTCAGGGTTGTTATCTTGATGGTCTGTGGTTGACCAAAAATTAAAGAATCCAGTCTGTCTCTGAGGTGCTGAGGGTTACACATAACCGCATAGCTCACATTCTCCGTCAGGGCCAGACCCATCTTGGAAGTTATAGCTAGCTTCTCCTACTTTCCTCAGTGCCATTTAATGGGGAAGTGTCCATGTTGAAGTACTGAGTTATAGGGATCATGTCTGGATTCAATTCAACTTGTTTATTAAACTCCTACCCGATATAAGGGGCTTCTGTTGAGTGAAGGAAACAGACCCAGGGATATTACCGATATTATATGGTATACCTCAGAGGAGTAACACTTAGTGCAGCCAGGGAGGGTACAGAAAACTTCAAGAGACAGCACTTGAGGCAGATCTCAAAAGAGGGGTGAGCCCTGGCCGGTTTGGCTCAGCGGTTAGAGTGTCGGCCTGCGGTCCAGAGAGACCCGGGTTCGGTTTCCGCTAAGGGCACGTACCTTGGTTGCAGTTTGTCCCCGGCCCTGGTTGGGTTGTGCGGGTGGCAACCACTCGATGTGTCCCTTTCACATCGATGTTTCTCTCTCTCTTTCTCCCTCCCACTCTATCTGAACAAAAAAAAATGGAAAAATGTCCTCGGATGAGGATTAAAAAAAAAAAAAAAAAAAGGAGGGGTGAAAGGGAATTCAGTAAAGGGCCCTCAGAAACACTAGTGCAAGGAAACCATGTGCAGTCCATGTGAATAGAGTGTGAAATAGTGATGCAGCTAAGAGAGATCTTGAATTTTACTCTAAAGGTAGCTCTTGAGTGAATTTTTGCAGTGATGTACTCAGAGATTTACTTTTTAGAAGATTGCTGGGACAGCATGTGTATAGTAGGAGGCTGCACATGAGGAGGATAGGGATAATAATTAAAGTATTACTAAAACTCATTACAGCAGAATTCCGTCTGAGATTTATTTATTCAAACACTTAAAAAAATAAGCTAATATAGAAGTGATGACAGATAAGGGGGCAGCAGATGTTTTCATGTTTCACTAAAGTACCACCTCAAACATTGTGACATATGTGGGACTGAAGCTGTAATTTATAGTCTGTAGCCATGGGGAATGGAATGCATTTTCTTGGACAGAAACATTGATTGTGAAACTAAGGGGCCAACTTCCAAACAGTGACAGGCTTTCTTTTGCAGTGTGGATGCTAATCACAGATAAGTTTCTGCCAGGCTTGTCCAGCATTGTTTTGCCCACTTTCACACACACAGAAGTCCAGCTTTGAGCAGAATATCCTTCTGATGTTTGTTTTTGCCAATGTAAAATGAAGGGACTGGCTTAGGGTCTCTAATAATATCTATTAATAAATGACTGTCATTTCGTATATATTGATATATTTGTATAGTCACAGATATATAAATATGTATTATATATATATTATATGTAAAGAGACATTTCATCTTGAAATAAATAAACATTTCACTGCATTCATTTGCATCTTGTTATGATCTGATTTAATTTTGAAGAGGCCATTCCAGCCATTAATTGGGAATGGATTGGGGAGGAGCAAGAATAGGCTCCAGGAGGCCAGCTAAGAGGCCTCTACAAGTGAGAAATGATGATAGCAATGAAAATGAAGAAATGTGGGTGGATCTGAGATACATATTGTGAAAGCAGAAATGATAGGATTTGCTGATGAGCTATGAGAGGACTGGGGTAGAGTGAGAAATCCAGAATGAAGCTGGGGTTCTGACCAGCAACTGGATAGAGGATGGTGCCCTTGATTGAGACAATGGAGATGGAGAATGGGGTCTGGGTAGGGGATGAAGAGGGCAGTTTGGGATGTAGTATCAAATATAAAGTGATTATGAGACATCCTCATGTCAAATGGAGAAGTTGAAAAGGTAATTTGGTATTTTTCTGGTAGGACAAATGAAGTAAAATAATTAATAAAGGTGTAATCAGATTTTAATGTTTCTTCAGCAAATATTTCCTATTTCAGTTCACATTCTTAACCACTTGCCTTTATTGAGCATGTGATTGGTGCTACCCTGTACTGTGTTTTTGTTTGTTTGTTTTTTCTTTATTGATTTTAAAGAGAGGAAGGGAGAGGAAGAGAGATAGAAACATCGATGAGAGAGAACATCGAATAAAACATCGATTGGCTACCTCCTGCATGCCCCCCACTGGGGATTTGGCCCACAACCTGGGCCTGTGCCCTGACTGGGAATCAAACCGACGACCTCTTGGTGCATGGGTCGACTCTCAACCACTGAGCCACACTGGCTGGGCTGTACTAAATGTTTTATACATATTTTATTTAAACTCCCAAAGAACCCTCTTATGAAGATGCTATTATTGTTCCCAATGTTGAATGAGGAAGCTGAGGTTTGAGAGGTTAGGCTGTTAGCCAGAGTCAATAGCTGGTAGCTGGAGGAGCCTGGATTGGTACTAGGCTACCTGAATTGTGAAATTGTGCTTTGCCACATGCCATGGCGTCTTGCTATGAGTGTGTGGCTCATTGTGATTTTTCTCTCTTTTCAGGGTTTTGGTTTTTGCACTGAATGTAGTCTAGATTTATCTTCACGGGCGTGTGTTGCCCCAGGAAACTGTCAAAGGTAAGTTTTTAAAATGTATATCCACAGGGTGTTAGCAATGAATGGGAGAGTCTTCATCTTAAAAAGAAGAAAAGTACATTTTGACATCATTGCTTCTTTCCAGAGTTCTTACAGAAGGGTATTTAAAGTGTTCATCACGTCAGCTATTTGCATTTTCTATTTTGGCCACTGGCCAGGGCTGGTTGGTCCATTTATTTATTTATTTATTCATTCATTCATTCATTCATTCATTCATTCCTCACCTGGGGGCATTTTTCCATTTTTTGTTCAGATAGAGTGGGAGGGAGAGAGAAGAAGGGAGAGAGAGAGAAACATCACCATGAAAGGGGCACACCCAACCAGGGCTAGGGGAAAAACTGCAACCTAGGTACGTGCCCTTAGCGGGAACCGAACCCGGGTCTCTCTGGACTGCAGGCCAACGCTCTAACCGCTGAGCCAAACCGGCCAGGGCGGTAGATCCCTTTAAAAAACACTTGTATTTAGATTGATACTGACATTTGGTGCCCAATCCTTTTATAAAGCTGGAATTTGTTATTAGGAGTTAGCAATTCCACTGTTTTATGTGCGCATATTCCTAGCTTCTCTGCCCCTAGTCTGTCCCTACTGCAGCCTGTACTCCACATTACTGTCAGAGTCAGCTTTCTAAATGGTAGTTTTTCTCGTGTCACTCCTTTGCTTAGACAGCTCTCAAGGCTCCCAGTTGCTACAGATGTCATTCTGCAACCCCCCTTCAAAACCTAATTGCAGTCAACATTTCTGGCCTGTTTTTTACAGAACCCCTATCTGTAAGCCTTTTTCCATTTTCCAAATATTTAGTTCTTTTTCCACAGCTTTGTGCCTTGGTTGATAGTTTGCTCTTTGCTTAGTTTGGAAGAGGGAAGAAGAATGCACCTCTCCACTCTTCCTTCTTGTGTCATTCCTATTGTTCCCTTTTCCTAGACTCTCTTTTTCTTTTTTCTTTTTTTTATCCTCACCTGAGGACATTTTTCCATTTTTTGTACAGATAGAGTGGGAGGGAGAGAGAGGAAGAGAGAGAGAGAGAAACATCGATGCGAAAGGGACACATCGAGTGGCTGCCACCCGCACGACCAACCAGGGCCGGGGACAAACTGCAACCGAGGTACATGCCCTTAGCGGGAACCGAACCCGGGTCTCTCTGGACCGCAGGCCAACGCTCTAACCGCTGAGCCAAGCCGGCCAGGGCTCCTAGACTCTCTTGGCAGAATTTTCTTCATCGATGTTCTAGGAGCACCTGTTATTATTACAGTGACAAAGCATTCATTATTTCACATTAGAGTTATTTATTGGTATTATGTCTCCTTTATTAGTTTATAAACCCTTTGAAACTTCTTAGAAAGGAACTGTTTTTAAGTGCTTAGTGGCTGCTCCTGGACACCTTGCTCAGTGCTATACATATACTATTTAATTTAATCCTTATAACACCTCCTTCTGACCAGTTTTATGGGTGAAAATAATGAAAATAAGAAAGTTAAGTAACTTGCCCAAGATTACACAGCTAGTAAATGTCAAGAGTAATGAATTTTGCCCTTTTAAAACCAGTGCTTATTGTACTATACCACATTAGCCCAGCACCACCTGGCATGTGGTTAGGACCCAGTAAACATTTATTGAATTGATATTTATTGCAGTTTAAGTGAAAAGGACTTTAGTTGATTAATTCAGTCATTCTTACATAGAAATTTGTTAAATACAGGTACACAATTTCAAGTAAACTGTGAATATAGAGTTTAATGCGTTATAGTGTCTGGTATCAAAGGGTTGATAGTCTACTAGGGAAGGCATCTGTGCAAGCAAATAAATCCAATAAAGTAGCAGATCCTGTAATAGGATTCTGATAAGATCCACTGGGGACACTGAGGAAGAAAGAATCCATTCTACCTAGAGATGGCTCAGGAAATACTTTCTAAAAGCTGCGTCTTTTTTTAAAAATTATTTTATTTATTTTTTTATTTTTATTTTTTTATCCTCACCTGAGGACATTTTTCCATTTTTTGTTCAGATAGAGTGGGAGGGGGAGAGAGGGAGAGAGAGAGGGAGAGAAGCATCGACGTGAAAGGGACACATTGAGTGGCTGCCACCCGCACAACCAACCAGGGCCCGGGACAAACTGCAACCGAGGTACGTACCCTTAGCAGACACCGAGCCCTGGTCTCTCTGGACCACAGGCTGACGCTCTAACCACTGAACCAAACCGTCTAGGGCTAAAAGCTGCATCTTAATGAAGAGTATCAGGGGAGGAAAAGGCAGAGGGAGTAACATGAACAAAGATATGGAAACCTGAAACAATCTGGCATAATTGTAAAGCTGTAAGTAGTTCGGTATGGCTGGAACCAAAGGAATAAAGAGGCCTATCTAATGACGCTGGAAAGACAGGTGAGGGCTGGATCCTGGAGGGCTTTGAAAATGTTGACATATTTGCCAACTTTTGAAGGAGACCTAGTACAGATGCTGTATGACATTACTTACATTTGGTCATTAACATTTGTTGAGTCCTATCCCTTGTGTGCTGAAGCACTGTGCCAGGTCACAACGATCTGTCACTAACTGTGTATGGCATACTGGTGACAGCTTTGAAGTGAAATGATGGGCTGAAGCAGAAATGAAATGCTTATGTTGTCACGTCACTTTGACAGCTTTACCACCACTTGTTCACCCTTCTTGTTCATCCACTTAATTTTCACATAAGTGGACTTTGCCATGGCTTTTTCATCACTCTCTTAGAACTGATACACTGGACCCTGTGTTACTCCCAGTGGAACCATATGCTTTGCATTGTCTGATCTCCTTCCATTTTTTTTAAAAGGACAATAAAACTGACCTAGAACCTTAGACACAACTAAAGGTTATGACTTCAAACAAGAATATCATCAAGGCTTTTTCAAGAAACACATTAGCCCTGGCCGGTTTGGCTCAGCGGTTAGAGCGTTGGCCTTCAGTCCAGAGAGACCCGGGGTCGGTTCCCACTAAGGGCATGTACCTCAGTTGCAGTTTGTCCCCGGCCCTGATTGGTCGAGTGGGTGGCAGCCACTCGATGTGTCCCTTTCACATCGATGTTTCTCTCTCTCCTCCCTCCCTCTCTCTCTCTTCCTCTCTCTCCCTCCCACTCTATCTGAACAAAAAATGGAAAAATGTCCTCAGGTGAGGATAAAAAAAAAAAGAAACACATTAAAAATATTAAAGGTAATTTCAAAACAACAAAAGAAGAGAGCAAATTAAGTAAAGGACAAATAAAAATAGATATCAATATGACATATAGTAAGTAGGCAGATAATATGGTGTTAATCAGGAAAGATTTTTAGAAATACAAATTAACTGGATATTAGAAGGATGGAAATATAGATTGGTGAAGGGAAAGGATTTCCAATGGGGTGTGGACTGCATAGGTAGAAATTAGCCAGTTGTGTGGAGAGAGAGAAAGTTGATTTATCTGACTGGAGTGAAGTGTGTGCTTTGGAAGTAACTAGAAATGAAGTTGAAAAGCTTATGTAGTAAAAGTATTTTATCAATATTACGGTAATGGGCTAAGTGGGGTAAAACTGCCACAGAAAAGTGAACTTAATTTTGAAGAGGATAAATTTCAGATATAAGTTGAAATTGAAGGGGACCCAATAAATAATATTCTATTTCCTGCCCACATTATGAACCAATGAAAATAGAGGATTAAGGAGTAAGGCCAGTAGAGAACAAAATTTTACTTCTATTATAAGTTGACATAGGAGAACTGGCTAATTTCTGAGGGCCAGTTTGCTTTCTAATAGTGAATTCCAGAACTTAACAGGTTTCCTCACCAGCAGCACTAGACTGGGTTAGACCCACCTCCTAGAAGGAAGGAAGGAGCAGAGCAGAATAGGTACCCCCAAGGGAAAGGGGAGGGAAGGGGCTGGACTCTGCAAGCATAGTTTCCTCTTCTAGGCTCACTGATCAGAGGAGACACTTCACCCCTGACACCAGGAGTCAGGATATGATACGACCAGATATAGTAAACAAACTAATGTTGCATTACGTGGAGGGAAGCATCAAGGGTGAGGACGAAGTTTTCTTCCTCTAACACTCACCAGCTTTTGTCTCTTACACCATACATATATATCAGTCAGCTGGGGTGTACCTATCCCTTTAGGGCAGAGGAGTCTCAGGACTGTCCTACTCCCACTTTCATGAGGACAGCACCCCACTACCAATCACTGTTCTCTTGGGTCTTCTCTTGGGATCATTAAAAGATTTTGTCCCCAGAAGATTCTAAAATGGATAAGAACAGTATACAGATTATATGACTCCAAAGCTAAACAAAATTATTTCAGTACTCTTCCTACAGCTGCCGAACCCAAGAGCAGTATTTCTGATAAAGTTATATTCCATGAATGCAACATTCAGTCTTGCCAAAGATTGTAGCAGAGACACATTGGTATCTGAGGGAGGGAAGAATAAGTGAGATCTGCCCTGGCTGGTTTGGCTCAGCGGTTAGAGCATCAGCCTGCGGTCCAGAGAGACCCAGGTTCGGTTCCTGCTAAGGGCACGTACCTCAGTTGCAGTTTGTCCCCAGCCCTGGTTGGTCGTGTGGGTGGCAGCCACTCGATGTGTTCCTTTCATGTCGATGTTTCTCTCTCTCTCTCTCTCTCTTCCTCTCTCTCCCTCCCACTCTATCTGAACAAAAAATGGAAAAATGTCCTTGGGTGAGGATTAAAAAAAAAAAAAAAGAATAGGTGAGATCCTTTTGGTTTAAGCCTCACCAAGATATCCAGTTAGTACATGCCAGTGTCCAGAACTTACGACTTGGACACTGCCACCCAGTTTGGAGCAATCTGTCAGCAGGAGGTTAAATTTGGAACTGTGCCTTTACTATATCTGGAAAAAAATAACAACCAGTGCACAATCTTCTCTTTTAAAGATTACTATTTGAAATATCACCTCCTTTTTGCAAAATTTAGATGTTTATAGTGGCAGCTCCAGTTACCAAGTTCTCTGTCTTCTTCTATAAGTTCCTTCCCTCCCTCTTCTTTTTCCTTCTTTCCTTCTATGAAGTATTGTGAGAAGCCTCTTAATTTTCATTTCTCCTATGGATTACCTATGTGAACCTAGCACAAACAGTTTAAACAGAAGTTCACTGGTTTTATACAGCTCATGTGCTGTTTCAAATTCAGCTGCCTTGCAGCTTGCATGCATCAAATAATTGTTCTCAGATATCTAAAATGCCTGTATGAAGAAAGTCTTTTTTCCTAAAGTCTAATCTCTGCCTCAGCCATGCCTTCTTAGGAAAAGCTGTGCCTGCATAATTCAAGGTCAGGCAGCACCCTTCTGTACTTTGAAGCTACCCAAGCCTGCTAATGCCCTCCCCATTCCCTTTGCTGAGGCCAGCACAGCTGGCATTTGCTAGCTAGGCCAGTGTGGCCAGTGTATGCTGAGACCACTTGTGCAACTGACATTTAGATGAGCTTTCAGTACTACTACCATGGCAGAGTGTGGCTTTTCTTTTTTTTGCTGGGGCTGGCAAAACCCCCCAAGTCTTTGCTAAGGCTTATGTGCTGGTACGTGCATCCTGTCTCTGTAGAAACCGCCACTACCTGAAGACAAAGTTGCCATAACTACAGTCTCTGCTAAGTCAGAATACAGTGTGGCCTATGATTTATAAACTTCTAATTCGGCCTCAGTAGTTAAAAGCAAGTATACAACTGAAAAAACTCATGTGGCCTAATGTAATCCTCTTCTAGGTCAAAACACTTTAATTAAAGACCAAGACCTTAAGCCCTGGCCCCAGCAGAAGCCTCAGAAATTCCACATGTACATTTCTCCCCAAATTTTACTGCATATCTGTTCGTCAAGACTCTAATCCCATGCAGTAGGTGTTAGGGTCTATGAGAGACCCAATAAATAGCACTCTGATTTACCCTTGGCTGAGTTCTGTACCAATTGAGACATAAGATAAAAGAAAAAGGCAGCTGGGAGACAAAAATATCTCTATTATGATTAAAGCTAAATTGGAGAATGCAGCTTACATCTACAGGCTAGTGAACTTCTTAACACTGAACCTCAGAATTCATCAGACTTATCTAGTCACAGGTAATTGTGAGGGGCCTGCATTGATAGGGACAGGAGCAGAGGAGAATGTGTGCTCTCTGGGGACAGCTGGCTTCCAAAAGGAAGAGAGAGCTCACATATCTTGTTTCTCCCTCTGAACTCACCTTTCAGATAAGATCCTGTACCTCCTCTGGGATAGTGTTTGTGGAGGTGGAGAGGAGGCAGGAATGAACCTTGGGAGAGGGAAGAAGCATTCCTTTTTCCAGCATATTCAAATGGAAATGGCACAGAGGTAATCTGGTGCCTTTCTTGGTCAGCTGTGCCTGCCTATAATGCATCATCTAGGAAATACAATCTCTATTTTAGTAAAGTAGAATGAGAACTTAAAGACATTTGTGAATTAATTTGCATACCAAATCTTTCTAGATATGTTAATTGAGTTTTTCCATTGCTGTCAATTTAATTTTCATAGAAAGAGCAATTATGTTTTTGCATAAGTGTCATAAACAGGTGAAGATCAAAACCAACTGGAGAAAACCTGTTTTCAGATACTGTGAGCATCAGTCATATGTTTTACAGAGGGAATGGGCAGTGTCCATTCATCTGGAATGAGTGAATGGGGGTTGACTGAGCTTCCATTGTACGGGTTTTACATTTTACATCAGATATACATTAGTTACCAAAAAAACTCATTAGGTGAGCATAGTAGATATTTTGATGCCCCTTTCTTACCCAGCTGATGAGGAAACAGATTCCCAGAACTGCCTTCTTGGCCTCAGGTCTTGTGACTGGTTAGTTGAGAAGCCTGTACCAGAATCAGATCTCCACTCCAAGCTGCTGCATTTATAGAGATTTCTCTGCACACAAAAAAGATACACTATGAAGCATCTTTTTAACTTTGTATTTTGTAGCTATGAAACTTTATTAAATTTTTGTTTGTTTGTTTTTTAATCCTCACCTGAGGATATTTTTTTTTATCTATCTTCAGATAGAGTGGGAGGGAGGGGGAGAGAGAGAAACATCCACTTAAGAGGGACACATCGACTGGTTGCTGCCTCCCTCACGACCCTGAGCAGGGCTGGGAATGAACCGCAACTGAGGTACATGCCCTTGACCAGAATCAAACCCACGACTCTTTGGTCCTCGGGATGACACTCTAACTGCTGAGCCAAAATGGCCAGGACACTATGAGCCTTTTAAAGTATTTGATACATTTAAAAATATTTGTACCTGCATTGTAATAGAGATTTGTTTTGTGTCAGTTTGAATAATGATTCTTCAATAAGTATGTACTTAATGAGTTGATTTGAATGTTGCATGAATTTATAGTTGTTTCCTTTTAGAAATATTTAGTTAATAAATTTTAATAAACTTTTACTTGACTCATTTTTATTTTATTTATTTTTTTATCCTCACCCGAGGATATTTTTCCATTTTTTGTTCAGATAGAGCGGAAGGGAGAGAGAGGAAGAGAAAGAGAGAGAAACATCGATGTGAAGGGACACATCGAGTGGCTGCCACCCGCACGACCAACCAGGGCCGGAGACAAACTGCAACCGAGGTACGTGCCCTTAGCAGGAACCGAACCCGGGTCTCTCTGTACCGCAGGCCGATGCTCCAACCGCTGAGCCAAACCGGTCAGGGCCTTGACTCATTTTATTCTTAGAGGAAAAATGACTACTTTTTATTGTCTTGCCCTATGAATAGCCTACACTCATATAAAATTAAATTAACTGGCATTTAGTTTATTAAGCAAATTTTCTTAAAATAAAACAGGTAGGATCAATCATTAGAGTACACCTTAATTTCAGTCATAAAATACCACAAATGTTGAACATAAATTATAAACCCAAGAAACCCAGCCAATTTCAATAGCCCAGCTTAATATCCAGACAGTACAACTAGCTACTGGATAACAGTTGGTTCACTGCTTTATTTAGGTGAGCATTCTTTCCGACAGATCAGTATTTGTACTGTATGGGTTACTGAAGATTTTCACTATAACCTCTGCCAAAAGTTAAATAAAACGAGGAAAATTATCTAGAACTGCTCAATACTTCAATGTCTTAAACCTTTTCTATCTTCATCTGAGGTGGGGAAAATTCCCTCTCTACCTCAGACGCATGTGTATATACAGACACACACACACAGTACTTAAGGTCATTACTTCACAGTATCTGTGGTCTTGGTAACAAAATTTTAATGTAATCTTTGAAAAACAAACATCTGAACTGAATTTCTTTTGTATTTTTCTCTTCCTACCTCTTTTAGGCAGTATTTGTGTGTTTCTGCAGAGTTTTGCACAGAGTCTGTTCCCATGCAAACCAATGAGGGAGAAGTATCGGAAGAAAGCGGTTCCAAGGTCAGTGAACTACTAAAGGTGCAAACAATTTGAGTAGAAAATAACAACGGCAATAGATGAGTGGGGTGGGTGTTTTGCTTTAGGTGAATTTAGGAATTAGATTAAGTTAGACCTTAACCTTAGATTGAGATTTTTTTTTCTTAATATCCATTTTTGTTCTGCTACATGAGAAATTTAAAACAGATTTTATTGAACTCCTCCTAGAGAACTTAATGATTAATTTGTAAAACACTAGCACTTTGTCTTTTTATGTTTTGTTATGCAAGTTATATATACTTAGACATTTTTCATTATAAATTTTTAAGTGGTAATTTGGTTGGCTTAAGTGACTATTATCACTGTCAAACCCTGTATATAAATAGTTATCTGTGTATTTACATATACCTCTCTATGTCTGCCTTTGTGTCCTGAATCTGCTTGACTCTTTCTCTGCCTGGTCATATGGAACCTTCAGTATCACCTTCACTTCACCTCTCCTTTTCATCTTTCAATGTTGTCTCTAGTCCTTCCTGGAAGTCCGAGGGCATCTCACACACTGTGTCTAGGGCAGCGCCTGGCATTATCAGCTACTCTGGACCCTCCTCAAGGAAGTCCTTTTTCTGCTTCCGCTACTACTGGTAGTCTCTGTGGGAAGGCTTATTCCTTCACCAGAGTAAAAATGGAGAGGTATGAAAATGTCACTGGGAACTGTCAAAACATTATGCTGTGTGGAAGAAGCCAGGCACAAAAGGTCACATATTGTATGGTTCCATTTATGTGAAATACGCAGAATCAGTAAATTCATAGAGATAGAACATAGACTGGTGTTTACCAGGGGTGGTTTTGGGGAGAAGGGAAAATGAGGAATAAGTACTTAATTGGTACAGTGTTTCTAGTTGGGGTGATGAAAATGTTTTCAAACTTGATAGAGGTGCACAGCATTGTGAATATACCAAATGCTACTGAATTGTTCACCGTATAATGGTTAATTTTATGTTATGTGAATTTCACATCAGTAAATTATATAAATTTATATGAATTTATCCTCACTTGAGGACATTTTTCCATTTTTTTGTTCAGATAGAGTGGGAGAGAGAGAGGGGAAGAGAGAGAGAGGAAGAGAGAGAGAGAGAAACATCGACGTGAAAGGGACACATCGAGTGGCCACCACCCACACGACCAACCAGGGCCGGGGACAAACCGCATCCAAGGTACGCGCCCTTAGCGGGAACCAAACCCTGGTCTCTCTGGACCGCAGGCTGACGCTCTAACCGCTGAGCCAAACCGGCCAGGGCGTAAATTATATTTTTTAAAAGACAGGAAAAAAATCTGTGAATTCCCATTAGATCAGTCCTCACTGCCCCACTGGCCTCATGCAGTGCTCCACTGAGTTTTAGAGAGGCCACCTCCTTCTCTGCTTTGTTGTACTTTGTAGACTGGGCTTCACAGAGGCACTACTGGTGCCCTGAGTCTTGGGGTCACTTGTGAAAACAGCTTTTTCAGTTTCTTTCTGAATTCTTCCTTTCTATAGTCCATGGGTTGGTAGAGGAACAGATATCATCATGTCCTCTTGTTTTTTACCCATCTCACCAGATCTCTTACTTCTTTCTGTAGCCAAAGCAGAAGCCTATAGACTTTCATCAGACTCATCTAGATCCTGAATCTCATTTAGGGTTAGTCAAAATCCATGATACACACACACTCTAGGAGTCCCCCAAACACACACACAAACACAGACACCCAGGACATCCAAGATACACAGACCTCAGGATTTCTGAAGTACACATGACCCTTCCTCGAGATCCTAATTTATTAATTTATAACGAAACTATAATGTTAAGGAAGATTAGACTCTTGGATCCTTTGGCTAGTACATTCCCTGGAAAGCTAAGTTGTAATTGGGACTTGGCAAGCATGTAATTAAATCAATATAGAATGTTTTATTATGTTATAAACTTGAGTTTCCACCTTCTTTCTGAGGAAAAAAAAGACTGGCTTTCTTAATTTTTAAAAAATTATTGAATAGTTTATCAGTTTAGAATTAGTTAGACTAAATAATAAAGAACATTGTTTTTATACTTGCATTAAGTAGAGGCTTCTGTTATCAGAAATTAGATTATAACTTCAGCTTCATTAGTCTTAGTTTAATTTATGTTATGGTTTTCTTTCTTACACTTTTCTTTGTTTAAAACCTTATTATATTTGGAATGTTGGATGTTAATGCAGGAGTTCATCTTAGTACTATGATAATTTGTGGTTGTCTGTTAACAGAAAGAAGTCAGGAAAGGTAGCTGGTTTTGTAAAAAAGTGGGGAATTTTCTACAAAACATAGTGATTTGAGATAAATCCTTTTCTTTTTTCCCCTGATAAATACTCTTTGAGCATGTGTTATCAAGGGATACAACAATGAACCAAAAAGACATGGTTCTTATTCTTAAGGTGGTTATATTTTACTGGGAGAAACAAATATAAGTAAAGGTAATAATTATGAATTATGGTCAGTACTATGAAGACAGTAAAATAAAGTAATATAATATAGGGTGACTGGGAGGACAAGCTTGGGGGTAGTCAAGGAAGCCTCTCTAAGAAGATTACATTTCAGTTAAGAGCTCAAGGATAAGGGAGCCTGCTACGTAAAGAGCTGAAACAGTGTTTATTCAGAAGAAACAGCTTCAGAAACCCTTAGCCTCTTCCAAGAACTATCAGAAGTCCTGTGTGGGCATAATGGTAATAAGGGGTTAGGGAGGGTAGCAGACACCTTGGAAGGACTCAAAGGTCATGGTGTGTATACTGGGAAGCCATTGAAGGCGAAATTGGGGAGTAACATGATATGATTTGTGTTTCTTTTTTTTTTATCCTCACCCGAGGATATTTTTTCCATTTTTTTGTACAAATAGAGTGGGAGGGAGGGAGAGGAAGGGAGAGAGAGAGAGAAACATCGACGTGAAGGGACACATCGAGTGGCTGCCACCCGCACGACCAACCAAGGCCGGGGACAAACTGCAACCGAAGTACGTGCCCTTAGCGGGAACCGAACCTGGGTCTCTCCGGACCGCAGGCCGACGCTCTAACCGCTGAGCCAAACTGGCCAGGGCATGATTTGTGTTTCTAAGAGATCCCTCTGGCTGCTGTATGGAGAATGGATTGGAGAGAGGCAAGAGTGGAGGAAGGGAACTGTAAGAATTCAGTTGTCATTCAGTAAGAGAGAAAGATAGTGGCCTGGATTAGTGTAGTGACATTAGAAGTGGAGGAAAGACAAACTTGAGGTGTGTTTTGGAGGTAAAACTGACATGACTTGAGGGTGAATTGGAATACTTTTAAATCATAGAAATCAAGAGGCGAATTTCAGAAAAAAGGTGTAGTCAATACTGTCAAATGCTGTCAAGAAGCCAAGGAGATTGGTAATTGACAAAAGACACAAGAAAGCTTTCTGTGGCTATGGAGATATTCTAGGTCTGATGGGGGAATATATGTTGTATAGGTATATCCATTTGTCAAAATTATACTGCTGTAATTTACAATTATAAAAAAAGTTACAACTTCTATGGTAAAACAATCTAATAGGGATATAGGTTGGATACAAGTATCAATAAAACAAGAATGACAGATGTTGACAACTATTGAAGTTTGGTGATGAGTGTATAGGGGTTCATTTGTATTTCCTTTGTACATGCTTGATATTTTCCATAGCAAGAAAGTTTTATTTCTTATTCTTTTTATCCTCACTCGAGGATATTTTTCCATTTTTTGTTCAGATAGAGTGGGAGGGAGGGAGAGAGAGAGAGAAAAACATCGATGTGAAAGGGACACATTGAGTGGTTGCCACCCACATGACCCAACCAGGGCTGGGGACAAACTGTAACCGAGGCCTGTGCCCTTAGCGGGAACTGAACCTGGGTCTCTCTGGACTGCAGGCTGATGCTCTAACCCTTGAGCCAAACCTGCTAGGGCCGTATCAAAAAAGTTTTAAAAAAGAACTTATTAATGATCTTTAAGAGTAAGAGGTCAAGAAACCAAGTTTTATGGGTTAAAAATTAAAAATGATTTTTTAAAAAGTAAGGGTTGTGAATATAGTTTACCACCCAACTTTAGGATTTTTGGAAGTAAGTGGGGAGAGAATAGCAGTGAGAAGGAAGTGCTAGTTCAAGGGAAAGATTTTTTATAATGGAGCAGGCCTATTATGTTTGAGGAAATAGATGAATGGAGGAAGGCAGAGGACATTTATAGAAAAGGTTCATTTATTGAAATTTGTGAGTTTGAAGGAACCTGGGAATTAGTGAGACTGGTTCCCTAGGCTCAGGCCTGAATTCTGCCCTTCTGACTGTCCTGTCTGGTTGGTGGTGGAGAGATGTTTGGAGAAGGAAAGAAAGACAGTGGAGTTCAGCTTTTCTTCATATTGCTTCTGAAATAAAAACCATTGTTATTTGAAGAGTTTAGAGTGCATGATTAAGGACTTGAAATGACGAGTTCAGATTTCCTATTAAGGGGAACATTTTGGAATTGCATTTGCAGAGAAGATGCTAAGAATCATAATGAAAGGGTCAATAACTTTTTTAAAATTTAATTTAATTTTTTAAAATACTCTTGTAAGTGTTGTGCAAGTAGAAATCAAGGGATGCTATGGTCAGAAAGGTTTATAAAGAAAATCATCTTGGAGAATGTGAATTTTCATGTTTCTTTTGAAGAAATAATCTCTGAAACTGTGCAACATCTTCCATAGCTTTTGGTGGGGAGAGAAATATTTAAGTTTAGAGATGGACTAGGATTATATATTCCTCAAAAGTTGGGAAATGTATACTTCAATCTCTTGAGTTTAGGAAGACACTGTTTCTGTGCTAGAGAGATAAGAAAAGCAGAAGATAGCTTCTACAAGATGGCTGTAGATTGGCCATAGATAATCTTCAATTAAGTATGTGTTCTTTCCATTTTTTTCTTGCTTATTTTTCAAAATGTGTCTTTATTGTTGAAAGTATTACAGATTTTCCTTTTTTTCCCCCATTGACACCCTCCTCCCTGCTCCC